ACGAGACGATCGCTAACGTAGAGACAGAAAATTTAGTAGGCTTAGAGTATCAAAAGGAGTCCACAAAGTAAAGACATAAATACACTACCTTTGCATTCTGCCAAACGCAGCAGCCATAACTCAAACAATGATAAAAGGTTCAATTATATTGCTTTTACTCGCATAGCACCTATTGTTAGATAATCTTTTGAATAGGTGCTGCTCGTCGTCGCGTCCGTTGCTAGTATTGCACGCCTTAAATTTATGGCACGGCTATGGCTGATAAAAGTCAAGCGTAGATAATAATGTAATGAATAAGTTGCCCACGTGCAGGGAGAAAAGTAGGAGAGGCAGTGACTGTGTTACATAACATCTGTTTAACTTGAAATGATTAGTTTTTGGAGCCTTGACACACGTACGAATATAGATTGCACGTTTGTGAACATACTTAAAGGATGCAATTTAGTTTACTATCCTTATCCACATGCATTAAGCGGTCATTCTTCTTGCGAAACACCAAATGATGACAATCACGCTATATATGATACTGTTGGTTGAGTAGAAATTACTTGTAGAAAAAAGAAGTGAAGTGTGAGGTAAAAGCCTGCTAAAATTTCTTCTTGTCTGGTGCAATCTACACCATCCACCTATTCGTGAGTCTTGCTCATCGGTCGGACCTAAGTTACCAGCATTCCAAACATTCATATCAAAAGCATTCGGTCGAAATTATTATATCACTCTATCAATAAATTTTTATAACTATTGAGTATATCGCCTTGAGTAGTACTGTATCGAACCAATCCAGGATCCAGCGTAAGATTTGTGCAACAGTCTATCAACCAGAACCATGTTTGAGACGAGATCACCCACAACGTGAATAATGAAAACCACACTATGCCCAACAGCCATATTGCGTACGAAAATGCGTGATTTTGTTTACTAGTCATTTCATTTTATAGAGCCGTTGGTTTGATCCCTTTGCGGACACTTTTTTGACAAACGGACAACTCACTTCTCATTTGGCGATCCGCAAGCTTCTGAGGCATCTGCGCTGCCTGGATATTGGCTGTCTCATCCTCGCGGAAAGCATTCCATGTGGTGATAACGTATAAGAGTGGGTGTTATTCTATCTGCACGTGATAGGAAAAAGTCGGAAGATCAAATGTTTATTTCTGTGCACTTTCAGAGGAGGGGACGCAGCGCGCGACCAGTGAATTACAGAAAAACCCGATCGGAGTATAGGTGTGGAAGTCGACGTACTTTGCGATTAAATTTGTTTTAACCCTAGATGATGTGCTATATCTCGCTGTACGTTCAACACCTGCAAAGTGTGACAGGAAAGACAATATCAAGATCGTGAGGATCTCGTTATCATGCCTTGCAGGCTGATTACGAAGAGTCAACGCCAGTCCTGATGTATGTATGAAGTGGTTCTGACGTCGTTGCTAAAAACAATTTCACCAGGAATCGGATAAAGCGGCTGAGCAAAATGCGAAACGAGGAGGAGGCTAAATATTGTGCCATAACGGCTCGATAATTGAACGCCGAGCTCGGATCGAAGGCGCGATAAGATGATCCTTTGGAAGCAACATATAGGACGCCCCGTGATCAAAGCAAGCAGTCTCCGCAAAGGTGTTGATAAATACACCTGTCATTACAGAGGCCGTTGAGATTTTACCCGCAAATGTTTTGCTTGTTGTTTTCTACATATGTAAGCAATGAGGGAATCGAAACATAATAGTACTATAACAAGCATAGTCGTAGCAACTTTATAGCAAAAGTATTGTTGTATTCATAATTTGTAATAAAAACTATGCATAGCACGTTCAATTGAGTGTGAAGGTAATGGATCCACGCGGATGGCATTGTTACGAGGTTGTGGCAGGCATCACTTTATTCGTCACAACGACTGACGCCGGTTTCACAGGGTTTATCGCGTTACTCAAGTTTATTTGTTTTGCTACAAAATGCATGTTCTTCTTTTCCATCGAAGTCGCATGGCGCTGGCATATTATCTTTTTGCGCCCCTTTTGAAAGCAACAGCGACATGTGTAAGTAGATTTGGAATTCGAATTCCCGGGGATACCGAAACGTCTTTTTGTTGTCGTTCAGATTTTTTATAATACGGTGGTGGATATATATATCTAGAGATCTATTAGTGCTGACAACCAATATTTGACCTCCCCAGAAATCCTTGCTTATTTTTTTGAATAGTTATTCCGGATGAAAAGCTGCCGTTTCGTCGATTGTAGACCCATTGGCATGCAATGCAGCGACGAGGTGGCGGCAAGAAAACCGCCTTTGCATGTATATAAAAATGAGCGACTCAAAGCTTTAACATCAATGCGCCGATACCTAGCGTAGTCTTGTTTTTTAGGCAAACCACATAGTGAAGGACGACCGCGCAACTTCATATCCACCCGCAGCTACTTGTTCTTTCTTCCGAAGAGACCGCGCACAAGACTCACAGTAGGCTTTTATGTTGACCTTTTTTATTTGATCTTGATGCATACAACAAAATTTATAGTCGCCTGTGTTAAAATTTTAATGCCTCCAGAGGCGCTGCGTCATAAACACCTTGGACGAGAGTGGCATTGTTATCGCGTTATACAAAGTTGGTAGTGTGTCAGCCGAAAAGAGAACATGGTATCATTGGCGGTGCGAAGGCGGGTTTTGGTGCTTGTGGACGAATCTGTCCTCGACGTCAAAATTTTTTTGAGACCTATGTAATCATTGACTTCTTCTGATAGGATTACAAGAAGAACTCTTACCGATCCTTCGTTTTACTTTGGATTTTCGTTCTTTGCCTTGCCTATCCAAAGTCGACTAAGTAACGATCACCAACGCTGGTTATGTTCTACTTCTACTGTTTACCTTATACCATCTATATTAAGTCCTTCTCCTACCTTCGCCTCTATTTTCTATACTCCCAGCCTTTGATACGACTTCCCAGGTGCGACTAAGCTTGCGACTAGGCTTGGAAAAGGCTCTCCTCGGTGCTTTTGTCAGATCAACTGATATCGGGATTCCGACAACTTCTATATGCATACATGTTTTCGCAAATACAGTACAACAATTAGGATCATCATCCCCAATGTATGCGTCGACATCATCTCCAAAATAGTCGTACCGCCGTAAGAGCAGAATTGTAGTCGATCTCGGACTCTACTGACTGAATTTTTCACACGGCATCCTCGAAGTCAGTACCAGAACATTCAAAATTGCTTTGATATTGCGCAAAAGATGCAAAGTATAGAATCGAATCTGCAGGCTGATACCTGCGGTTAAATACACTTCTTTCACGGCATCTTGAATGTTCCAGCGATCATACATTTTCGCGACATTCACTCAATTTGTTCCAGCCCAAATACAATGCATGAAATCCCACGAAACGTTGTCCTTTCTCGATACATGAACGAAGTTAGTAGCCAACATAATGCTTTGCCCGTTCCCGTCTTGACCTATTCGAGAAAGTATCACGCCATTAAATTTGTGGTGTCGCGAATTCGTTCCATTGAAGCCAACCACCGGAACATTGTATTGTAGCTGCTAAAAGACACCTTTAAAGACCACAAACAAACGGAAAAATCGATTCTATTGGTCCACTTCGAGCGCCACAGTGCTGGATTAATTGACGTGCCTTGATTCAGCCATATGCGGGGCTAGAAACTCAAAAGATAATTTCCATTCGCCTTCTATCTCTTCAATGACCGCTTTAATAAGTATCAAAACAAGACTTACGAAGCCGAAAGAGCGTTAACTAAAGCGATGAAAGGCGAATAAAAGCCAGCTTTTGAGCTTCTGGCCCCGCATTGGGCTTGACTTCGTAAGTCTCGGTTCGATTCTTGTAGAGGTCTTTTTGTCACGGACGCGGACTAGCGCCACGATTGCCTTGCGATTATTGCCCTTGTTACCCTGAACCGCAACATTAAAAGTAGGGAGAAGTTTAATTTGCCGTGATGAAGGATTGGCAATCTCGATGCACACAACCTAGGGGACTATCATTTAGCGATGATATATAGTGCTAAGAAGGTGCACCCTTCCGCTGTCGTCTCGTCACGCAGAGTACCCACGGACACCTGTATTGTGGGCACACATACGTTTTGCTCCCACCACTACACCGCTTGACTTGCACTGTCGATTTTGATTAAATCAGTAGTCTTGTGCAAATATAGTTGCAGCAGCCGCAAACTGGATAATGTGTCCCCTCGACAGTACATTGGTACCGTAAATCGCTTTTGTGCCGATCTTCGCCATTTTGGGAGACATCGAAATGATGTTATTTTATGTTTCGCACATGGACCTAACTCTGCTAACCAACTACACAAAAATAGTGTGGTCCCATTATTTGTGTTCTGCGTGGTCTCGTCTCAGAAATGGTGCTGGATTCTGGACTTTTGCACAATTCTACTGCTGGGTTCTGGATTTTCTCTACTACGTCACCCGAATTCTTACAACAACGTATCCAGCGAGAACATTTGTGCGTGTCGCCAGCTTTTTTATCCAATAGAAATGATCAGTAAATATGAACGACTGATCCGATATCCGACAATCGTCAAGTAAAATCATTGTTGTTGAAATTCTACGGCGTCTGTGTACATACACATAGAAATGGCTACGTTTTATCTTGTAATTCGTAGCTAAGCCTCTCTGCGTCGAGCGTATGGTATACATCACCGGTGCATTTTCTTTCATCTTGTGGTGTTTTTTATTTTCGTGATTATCTGGTGCACTTCTTCATTTTCTCTTCTTTTCTTCCGATATTGGTAGCCTTCCATTTGTATTTGGCGGCACATAGCATGCATCGACCCTGCGAGTGTGTCAAAAACCACGTTGCGCACGCCCAATTCAACATAAATTACTTCTTTTTTCACCGCATGACTTCGTGACGGTAAGAATTACACGAAACGAATCCCGTCTCCCTGCGACTACGTAATCCGTCCAAATCGCGCATGACGGTCTCCAAACCCACTCACGAGCACGTCCGCGAGTCGCCTATCAGTAAGTCGTAGTACGTCGTGATGCCATCGAGCCCAGCGTCGTCTCCGCCCTCTGGACCCCCCGCGCTCTTCCGCTCGACGTGGTTCCGACTCGTCCTCCTCGTGTCCGCACCGCTGGTCGTGCTCCTGTTGTTGCTCTGGGGACTCGTCGGTCGTCTCTTTACACTCTCTCCACAGTCCGTAGCTGCTGCATCGTTTGCCCTCCCGTGGTTCGTGTACCTCTTTCGCCCGCACGATCCCGTGCATCTACTCGACTGGCCCCTCGTCATCTCCCTCGGCATTGCAGTCCTCTCGCAGCTGCCGCGATACAATAGCCAAGTCGCCCATGCAGTCGTGACAGCGACGCTCCAAGTTTACGTCATCCTCCGCATAACCCTCACGAGTCCAGAGAGCGGCAGCACCGACAAGTCCCTTTTCGACGCTTTTGCAGCTCTCTGCTGTCTCGCACCTGTCTGGCTCTCCATTTGCAACTTGCACTTGTGGCTGCCGTCTGACGTGAAGGAGCTCGAGAAGCTCGAGAAGAAGGTGTACGAGCAGTTTGTCGAGACGGGCTTTACAATGACCAAGATTGCGGGTCTTGGCACGGTTCATGTCCCCTTCTGTGGAGACGACCAGCAAGCTCGACCTCGAACCTTGGTGCTGGTGCATGGATACATGGCGTCGAATGCGTTTTGGGCTGCAGTACGTACATGATGAACTTATAGTTTGGGAATGGCAAGAAAGCTGACAACATGAGCTTGCTGTCGGCTATGTTGCGGTGCAGAGCCTTCAATTTCTTGCCAAGTCCTATAACGTGGTGCGTCTTCGATACCGTAGACGATACCTGAGGATGCCAATTGATTGCTAGCTTGCTGTGGTGTTGCAGTACGCAGTAGAGTGGAAAGGCATTGGCCGGTCGAATCGACCAAGATGGCATCCAGCGTCAGATGAAGAAATGGATGACTTCTTTGTTGAGTCACTGGAAGACTGGAGGCGTGCACTGGACCTCGATCGCTTTGTACTTTGTGGACATTCCATGGGGGTGCGTTGGTCTTGAAACTGATGGCTGGATGGATTGTGCAAATAACTTGATTGTGGTGCTCTGCGCTTTCTAGGCTATGTACAGTACTTACTTTGCCGAAAAGTATTCGCAACACGTCGAGCATCTTATCCTGGTATCCCCTGCAGGAGTCAACCGCAGCGACTTGACCCAAGATGGTCTGCCCTTCTTTATAAAGCTCACATCTCGATTCTACATCACACCAATGGTACGCAATGATCCATCCTATCACATTGCTACGTGTAGGGCTGTTTGAGTTATATTGGTTTACGCTTATCATGGGTTTTAGAGTGCAGTTCGGTTCGCTGGTCCACTTGGCCCAAGCCTAGTACGCTGGTCATGGAGGCAACGCATAAAATGGGTGCCAGCTACGAATATCGTCCGATCTGGGGAGCTAGACTTTGGTCTCATTACGGACTATTGCTATCACAACTGGGCTCTTCAGGCCTCAGGTGATATTGCATTTTACACCCACTTACACCCGGTAAGACTCGCATCGACGCAGTCGGAATCGCGTCACTCTTTTGTTACTAACAAGGCTAATTGTCCGAACAGGGCGCAAGTGCTCGACGCCGTCCATTGAACGAGATCCTCACCCCGGAGAAACTTCAGGTGCCACTCACTATTATGTACGGTGGTGGCATGGACTGGATGAACTCGAAGCACGGTGAGACAGTCGTCCGCCGGCTGGAAAAGACACAGTATGCTGTTTTCCGCCTGGTGCCCATATCGGGTCACCAAGTATTTATGGACAACCCAGGCGATTTCAATCAAATACTGGTCGAGGAGGTGCACAATCAAGAGCATGCGGCCGCGACATGCAACTAGCTTTATTGACGTGTTGTAGGTTCACGATACACTGCTTAAACAAGCGAGTGAGATGGACAAAACGTTTGCCGTGCGGTTGTTGTGTGCAGCATCATTATCGCAGAGCTCAACGGATGTTTCGTGCATGTCAGATGAACTAGGAAAAGCGCTGGAGACGCGGCAAATGAGCGGCCCTGTACATCGTGCGTACACACGGAATCGGCTACATTTCAAGTCAAACAACAAGCAGTCGCAGAAAAGTGCCACGAAAAAAATGACGTGTCGTGTGCTTTACAAGGCAAGTGGCAATAGCTTCTCTCTCAGGTGCTTTGCGATTCGAATGCTGGCGATCTGCAAGGGGAATACGAAAAACATAGTCTGAACTTGTAGGGCCGCCGCTTGCACAAGCAGCAAAAGCTGGTCACTGATCTCGAAGTAGAGCATAGCGTTGTCGTCACAAGCATGCGTCCGGGTGTATTTACCGTGCTGACACGCGGTGTCAGCTCGTGTCAGATCGCATCTGGCTAGTCAAACACGCCGTTGTAAAACTGCAGCAACTGGTGGCGACTCCTTTGGTTTTGTACGTCTGCCGCTGACCGATTCAGTTTGCGCTTGATCTTCTTGCCTGAGATGGCGCTGCGGGTAGTGTCCGAATCAGACGAAGACGAAGAGAACGATTCGTCCTCTTTATCGTCGCGGCGACTCTTCTTTTGGCCCTTTTTGCGCTGTTTCTTCTCGTGTTTCTTCTCCTTTGACCGTGACGACTGGTGTTTGCCCTTCTTGTCTTTTTTGTCAGACCTGCGGTCCTTCTTCTTCTCCTTCTTCAAGCGGTGACGCGGACCCTTCTTTTCTTTTCTGCCGTTGTCGCTCGAGTTTGACTCGAGCGAGCGACTCCTGCTCCGAGACAACTGCGAGGCGGAGCGCCGGCGCTCGTAGCTCCGTCGACGACTGCGACTACGGCCACGAGGTGAGCGTGAGCGCGAGAATCGATGCTCCCTCTCTCTCGTTCGATGCTCAGCACGGCTATAGCATATCACAGAATCAATTGAGATGTTATCGAGTGAGTGAATTAGTATACAACGCAAAAGCTCAAGACGACTGACGTTCTGGACTTCTCCTTTGATCGGGACTGAGCGCGCGACCGGGATCGTGATCGGGACCGGGCGCGGGAGCGCTTCGGGGACGCGCTACCTACTCATAGACGGTCAACGTTCATGTCCTGATTGACGTCAGTATGGCTGCTCGATGGCCAGCTACGACCTCGTAACTTACCACGCCACGCGCGAGTCATTTGTAATTTGAAATGGGTCCGAGATTGGTTTTATTTACGTAAGTCGTGAGCAGCATAATGCTGCACAGCGGGTAAAATACGGGAAATTGGCTCGATCAGCGTTACATAAGGAGGCAGATGCGGATCCCTCTTTTCAAAGCTCGACTGTTTATTACCGTTTTTTTCTTTATCATTTATATGGGAAGAAAATAATGGGTAGAAACAGTCGGAGCTAAGCAAAGTTGCGCTGCGGAAGTTGCGCAGAAGAGAGAGAGACGTCGAGCACTATCTATTTGCACAGAAAAGCTGCTTTTTATTTGTATGGATAAAATAATGTAATGATCGGCGTGACCAACGCATTTGTGACGAAAGACGCTATGTGGATGAAAAGTCGATAGCCGTTTGGAAACCGGGTCATATACAGATAGGAAGTGGCGGTCAAGAGGGATTTTGCGTAGCGCCAAGAGATGTGAGCCAGTGGCACGACACAATTAAGGTGGCCAATGCTTGTTTCGGTCACGAAGAATCTAGCAAGGCTAAACCACCAAACATGGTCGAAGCGTCAATCGTGCCTTCCGATACTTCGGCCGTTGGGGATCTCCAGAAGCATCTCAATGTCCCCCACCACAACATCGCGCCGGCCTCTTTTCGTGCAACAATATCGTATTTGGAAAACGCCTTAACACTTACGACAAAATGAAGGCTACAAATACGTTCACCTCGACTCGAATGACCAAACGAGCTGAAGTTCAGTTCATTAGTCGAGCGATGAGAGTTGTACGGTACTCGTTTCGGCATAGAGAAGATACGAGCCAAATGTGCATCGATAGCTGCACATTTGCTGACCGATGTATTTTGGTCCAAATAGTCCTGAAGACAACGCATGCTGACGAAATCAGCGATGGCCTACGACAACAGCCCGAGCAGTTTCTGGTACAAACGTCTGATGTGCTCGAAAAAAAGCCCCAGTTTGATCCCGCTCGTCAAGCTACTTTTGAGCCGACAGGACAAAATCAGGCACTTCGTTGTCTTCTACTAAGTACGAGATCGTCCCACAGGATCTCGCATTGAACGCCGTCGCAGGAACGGGAAGGCGAACGAAAGCGCCGAAGTAGCAGCAGCAGCAGCAGCCGAACGACGTGATGAGTGTGTGGTTCGTGTGCGTCCCGAACGAAGGCAACAGCTCGTCCGAAACGACGTTCCTGTCTCTGAAGGCAGAAACTGCGTCCAGCCGTCACGATTACGCTGGTGGGCAATATCCACTCGACCGAACCGGTCGCGTTCCGTCTCGTTGTGCCTAACGTTCTCCTTCTTCTTTGTCTCCTTCTTGTGGTACGTGTGTTGGAATCACAGAGTGCATCCGCGTGGAGCTACCGTCGGATCTGTTGGTGGGCACGTTGGACTCGCTCATGGTGCGTTGCTGTCGTCTGTGGCTCGTCGAGCTCCTTGACGTCCCTACTGATCGGACTGTGTCCCTTATTAGGCGCTGAGCGACGACTTGAGCCGCGTGGATATGGTCATTGAGGGTGTCGTGCGTAAAATCGAGCGCCAGTTCCACGACCTCAACAAAGACCAGCAGGACCTAACTGTCGACGGAGGTGAGTGATTCGGCCAGGGTGGCAGAATGACGACTGCTGCCACTTGTGCTAATTGTTTCGGTCACTGCAGTGCCAGTAGAGCGCTATTTGAGCTATTTCTCGTGGGACGAAGCGAAACATCCACACCGTCGACCACTGCCAGAGATCGTCAGTATCATCCAATCGGTAGGATCGAGGAGAGAGCGAAACGAGGGAAAGATGGAGATGAAATCGACTGAACTAATAGTCGATTGGGATGTTGAAACAGTCGGTGGGCAAGATTGAAGACGAACTGAAGCAACTGGGTACGCGCTACGCAGAAAAGAAGCAACAACTTGCTGGCCTGCAGCGCAAGAAGGGGTACGAAAGGGTTATGTATATGGCTTCTTGCAAGCATCGACAAGTGATGACTGTATTGCTTCGTGTCGTGTTGCAGAGGCAATCTCATGGTGGCGAATCTGAATGACGTGCTGACGCCTGACGTCGTATCCACGTCTGACTTTGTCAATACCGAGTATTTGCAGACGCTAGTGGTAATCGTGCCCAAAAACCTGGAAGAGCAGTGGCTGCTGGAATATGCACAGATCGGCGACCAAATTGCAGAGTATGGCCCCAAAGACTCTCGATCAAAGACGCGCGGATCTCCGGTCGTGCCTGGTTCGTCGCGCAAATTGGTGGAAGAAGGCGACTCTGCCGTGTATACGGTGACGTTGTTGAAGGGCCAATACCAACCAGGATTTCTAGACAAAGAAGGTAATTTCGAGCCCGGAACCACCGCGGACTATATTGAAGACTTCAAAGTGCGCGCCAAAGAGAAGCGCTTTGTCGTGCGCGAGTTTGACTTTCACCCGATGAGTCATGCGACTACCGAAGAAGCCATTGCCGAGCTGGAGGTGGAGGTCGATCGGCTATGGTCTGCGCTTCTCCGCTGGTGCAAGGCCCACTTTGGAGAAGCGTTCGTCGCATGGATGCACATCAAGGTACATCTCGTTCGTGTGAAAGGGTGCTACGCTTGGGGATAACTTTGTGCTTGTCTATTGCGCAGATCATTCGCGTGTTTGTTGAGTCCGTACTCCGTTACGGTCTCCCCGTAAACTTTGTACTTGTCATGTTCAGAGTACGTTGCTGCCTTGTGTCTTGCGGCGTAGTGACGTATTTGCTGACACAAACACTTGGTCGTTTAGCCACACCCTGGCAAGGAAAAGAAACTGCGCTCAGTGCTGGCAAAAAAGTACGCACACTTGCAGCCGGCTCAGTTCTCTGGTGTCGAAGAAGGCACGTCAGGCTCATCGCAGACTGAGTACTTTCCATACGTGGCAAACTCCTTCCACCCGCTTACCACCAACTAACTCGACGTGCCCGGAGCAACAACTTTGCCGTGCAAAACAAGACGTGAGCAGCGGGTAATGCTAGCGCAACCATGGACTAGTCCACGACATACGACATTGATGTGTTTAAAGTAATAAAGGCAGGGATGAAAAATGCATCACTAAAGCATGCTAAGTAGCCCAGGGTCAGACGCGTTGTCCACGTCTTCGTTCGAGCAGGTTTTCCTAAGCTGCTGCACACTCAACTCTTCGCGAATCTTCGCTTGGAAAACAAGCTGAACGAGCTCGCGCAGGTCACTTACGAACAGCAGTTGGACCCGATCTGTGTGAACATCTCGACCTCGTGTATCGCCATTATGAACACGCGCAAACTCAGCGCGCAGCTCTTCAACCTCGCTCTCGTTCGCTCGAGGTAAAACTACTCGCGTAATGCCAGCACGAATAGCTGCGAGCACCTTTTCGCGGATACCTCCGACCGGAAGAATCACGCCGCGCAAGGTAATTTCTCCTGTCATAGCGATGTCAACGGGAACCGGAATCCCCGAAACCGCTGATAACAGAGCGCAGATAATAGCGCCACCAGCAGACGGGCCATCCTTCGGAACAGCTCCTTCCGGAAAGTGGACGTGCACGCTTGCGATGTTGTCCAGATATAGCGATCGTGGTTCTAACAACGCCGCTGGGCTCATTTCCGCATGCGGAAGCTCCACAAGGTGAGCGTTCACGAGCAACCAGGAGAGAGCAAGCTGTGCCGACTCTTTCATTACGTCGCCGAGCTTTCCAGTTAGCTGCAGAGAAGGAGCGACTGGAGAAGAAGCGACTGAAGAAGAAGAAGTCACCAAGCCCTTCTCACTGGACGCACTTCGCCTACAAGAAGCTTCAACGAAAAGGATGGACCCACCCGCCGAGCTCCATGACATTCCTGTTGCTACTCCAGGAACACTTGAGCGCAATGCAACTTCGTTAAAAACCAACTCATGTCCAAGCATTCGATAGAGCATCCTTTTGTCAATGTGGACGTTGTCCATTTTCGCCAGCCGAACACTGTTGTCATCTTCGTTAGCTTGCCGCACCTCATTTTGATCGTTGTCCATGTCGCGCACAACACTGACAGCAACACCACGACAAAGCGCACCAATTCGCCGTTCCAAGTCACGTACCCCAGCCTCACGGGTGTATCGCATAATGAGGTGGCGCAAAGCTTCGTCCGAGATACGGACCATGTCTGTTCGTAAACCGTTGGCTTCGATTTGCTGCGGCAAGAGATAGCGTCGAGCGATTTCCACCTTCTGCTCCACGCTATACCCACTGAGTTCAATGACTTCCATGCGATCAAGCAAAGGTCGTGGGATCGTGTCCAAGCTGTTAGCTGTGGCCAAAAATAATATACGACTCAGGTCGAAAGGCACGTTCAGGTAGTGGTCGGTGAACGTGTCGTTTTGATGAGGATCCAACACCTCGAGCAAAGCGCTAGCCGGGTCTCCGCGAAGATCCTTACCCAGCTTGTCCACCTCATCCAGCAGCAGCACGGGATTTCTGCTCTCTGCATGACGAAGGGCATTCAGAATGCTCCCGGGCATAGCACCAACGTACGTTTTACGATGTCCTCGGATCTCCGACTCGTCGTGAACTCCACCGAGCGCCACCCGCTCGAATTTTCGATTCGTGGCGGCAGCGATTGAGCGTCCGAGCGATGTTTTACCAACGCCGGGAGGTCCAACTAGACACAGAATGGGTCCGTGCATATCACGCTTGAGGCTCCGAACCGCAACGTACTCGGTGATCCGTTTCTTCACCTTGTCTAAGCCGTAGTGGTCTGCGTCAAGCTGTTTGCGCACCTGATCAACCACCAGCGAATCAGCTGTGGAAGTGCTCCACGGCAGCTCTAGAAAAAACTCCAAATAGCTGTGCAAAATGCCGTACTCTGGCTGCATCGCAGTCATGCTCTTTAGTCGTCGAAGCTCACGCTGTGCAATCTTTGCAGCCTTCGGCCCGAGGTTCAGTGCATTCAATCGGTCCTCCAGCAACTCAATGTCGCCATCATTGTCTCCTCCGACGCCATCGCCCCCCGCTTTACCCAGCTCTTTCTTTATTGCTTCAAGCTGTTGCCGCAGCAAAAACTCTTTGCGAGTACTCTCAAGCTTGTCCTGCACCTCACTCTGGATCTTGCGCTGTAGCTTTGCCTTCTCCGTCTCCCGCTCTAGCAAAGCCACTGCCCGTTTGCAACGACAGGCAGCAGGCACCACTTCCAGCACGGCTTGCTTCTCCTTGACGTCCACCTTCAAGTACGACACCACCACGTCTGCCAGCTCTTCCGCTGACATGGTGTCAATGGCGTCCACGAGGGCACTTTTGCAGCGTGGTGCAAGCGTACTTGAAGTCACCTCCAGATACAGTCGTGTCAGCTCCGTCAGCCTCAGTGCGAAGTGGCGCAGGTCCGTCCCGTCCGTCGAATTCCCCAGGACAGGTTCTGGAGCCACTAGTTGCTGCACGCCGCCCACGAGGTATGGCTTCGTCTGAGACACGTCTTGCAGATGCACTCTGTGTAGTCCCTGTACCAGGACCAAGAGCCCTACCTCTCCGTTCTGCATACGCGTGAGCTGCACAATGCGGGCCAACGTCCCGGTGCGGTAGAGCGCATCTTTCGCCTGTGCCGTCGGTTGCGCGATCTTTAGGCCGTCCCGCTCGTCCTCTTTGCTGCTGCGACGAGTAAACAACGCGAGCGTAAGCAACGGAGACGTTGTGTCGCCCTTTTTGCGTCGCGGAGACTTGGAAGCGCGAGCCTCCGAGACCAAATCCTTGAGCAGCTGTATCGAGGAGAACGACGTGATCGCGAGACGGAGGTACGTCCGCGGGAAAAGCACGTCATCGTCCAAGGGCAGGACGGGCACTTGCAGCGCAGCAGCGGCGATCGGAGCGTGGCGGTCCGCCATTGTTAGGCGCGTACGAGAAGCTTCAGGTCGAGACGGGAGACGTGTGGCTTTTCGGAGGTATTGGGAGGAGACAACTGGTCCGACAGTCAATAGGTTGACAACGGGATAGATACGAGAGACGAAATGGGTACATCTCACTCCGCGTGTTTCGGATAGAAATTAGGTTCTCTTTGCGTTATTTCGGTGGCTGGGAGGAGAATCCGTACAAGTTCGGATCGTCGGCAGGACATGTTTTGACGATGGGGCAATGGAACACAAACGCACACGTCAATGATAAAAATTTATAAAAAAGTCTGCAATCGTATCGACACTGTCGATCTACTCCATGCTGTCGCAGCGGAATAAACCGACTTGATGCCCGATCGAGACAATACAGTTCGTCATTTCAACGCGAACTTCCCAACGGACCCATCTACAAACACCTACTTAGTGCCCTTCGTGGCCGACTTGTCGTCCTTGACGTTCTCGTCCGACTGCACGACGTCATCCTGCGTCGCCTCGTTCGCAAACGACTCCTTGTCGTCGTCGACCTCGGTCGATGGGGCTTCCCCCTTCGTGGCTCCCGCAACCGCAGTCGGGTACTTGTCATCCACCGGGTCTTCGACGCCCACGAGTCCATTCGAACCCTCATCGTACAGGTTGGCAAAGGTGATGTCGTCTCCACCCTTCTTCGATGCCTTCGAAGCCTTCGAGGCAACAGCGTCGTCAACTTCAGAGTCGTCGTCCTCACCGGCCACAAAAGGTTCCTTGTCGCCACCCTTCACACCAGTAGAGTCGCCGCCAACCACAAACGGAGCGGGGTTCTTGTTGTCGCCCTTCACGCCACCAAACATTTTGCTGCCAGCGTCGTCGTCAAACAGCCACGCCAGGTCGTCGCTGCCCGACGCATCGCCCTTCTCGCCCTTCGCCCTTCGTGGCACTCTTGGCACCATTGACATCAACCTCAGACTCATCGTCGTCTTCAACCTCGGCGTCGCCACCCTTCACACCAGTAGAGTCGCCGCCAACCACAAACGGAGCGGGGTTCTTGTTGTCGCCCTTCATGCCACCAAACATTTTGCTGCCAGCGTCGTCGTCAAACAGCCACGCCAGGTCGTCGCTGCCCGACGCATCGCCCTTCTCGCCCTTCGCGTCTCCCTTCGTGGCACTCTTGGCACCATTGACATCAACCTCAGACTCGTCGTCGTCTTCAACCACGTCGTCGCCACCCTTCACACCAGTAGAGTCGCCGCCAACCACAAACGGAGCGGGGTTCTTGTTGTCGCCCTTCACGCCACCAAACATTTTGCTGCCAGCGTCGTCGTCAAACAGCCACGCCAGGTCGTCGCTGCCCGACGCATCGCCCTTCTCGCCCTTCGCGTCTCCCTTCGTAGCACTCTTGGCACCATTGCCATCAACCTCAGGCTCGTCGTCGTCTTCAACCTCGGCGTCGCCACCCTTCACACCAGTAGAGTCGCCGCCAACCACAAACGGAGCGGGGTTCTTGTTGTCGCCCTTCACGCCACCAAACATTTTGCTGCCAGCGTCGTCGTCAAACAGCCACGCCAGGTCGTCGCTGCCCGACGCATCGCCCTTCTCGCCCTTCGCGTCTCCCTTCGTGGCACTCTTGGCACCATTGACATCAACCTCAGGCTCGTCGTCGTCTTCAACCTCGTCGTCGCCACCCTTCACACCAGTAGAGTCAGTGTCGGCATCGTCGTACACAGTTGCGCCCTTCGTCGCGCTCTTGTCCGCAGCGGCATTAGCGGTGCTGTCGTCAAAGTCGTTGAGCCACGACATGTCGTCTCCTTTGCTGGGCTTACCCGCCTTGTCATCGTACGAGTTGTCCTCGTACTCGCTCTGGACGACAGACTCCTTCTCACTGCCACTCGTCTTGTCGAAATCGTCGAGCCATGACAGGTCATCGCTGTCGGAGCCTACGGACTTGATCAGCTCAACAACGTCCTCCAAGTCCGCCTGGCCATCACCGCTGCCGATTACGTCCATAATGTTGAACTTGGTGGGGCTGCCGTCTTTGCTAATGCCGAAGATCTGCTCGAGGTCGACCTCCAGGTCTTCCGGCTCAATCTTTTGGACGTTCACATGGTCATGGGCGACGCCACTCGACTGGTGGTCGTGCTCGCTTGGAGTTTCTTCCGTTGTGCGCAGGGAGTTGGAGTTGCCCGCGTGCGCAGCGGTCACAGCAACGGCAGCAAGCACAAGACCGGACGAAAACTTCATCTTATAAGGCGGGTTGCTAGAGTGGCTGTTGGTAGCTGCTGGAGTGTGCGGCGAGAAGCAAATTGGAGAATGACCAACCCGAACGTGCACGAGATCCCCGGGGCTCGGAACGAACGCGTCCGCCCCTCGCCGCGTTCGTCCGTAGCGCGTCCCACACGATGCGCAGCACTCCCCATACTGAGCTGCATACGACATTCTTCAATGCACCGTCAGCCTGCGCATCATCCGTCGAGATTGTAGTCTGCTCTAGTTTTTTTCCAGATTCTGTGGGTACATTGGCAACACCGCGAGCACAAACGCGGCAGGAATCAGGTCGGGTAGAGGAGCCGGACCTGCTTTGCTGACACTGGCGTGAAAATTCGGTTTGCGACCAGTTTCCGGCCCAGATGTACCAGTGTCGTTCTCGCAGACCATCGCGTACCGGGGAACTGACTGTCCTATTCGCATCACTGATGCGTCAATCTCGGATTCTATCCTCAGCTTGTTCTGCTCAGGCAGAGGAAAGTCGGATTTCTGGGCGGCAACGAAGACCGCGCACGATCGACTTCCCACTCCATGGATGCTGCTGATGCCTGCGCACACGTTGCACCATGACACGCTCTTCCTCCTTACGCACTGGTTCGCGGTCCAACAGACACGAACTCCTCAGATTGCCACCAGCAAGACTCTGCGACGCCTTTTCATGGTTGCCATCCGATAAACGTGAATGCACTGTTCGCATACCGTTCAGTGGGCGTTTGTTGCATGTCTCGTTCCCGACGCGAACATACTCTGCACTGCATAGAGTCGCTTATGTACAGCGCAATCGGTGTGTGCAATCTGATTCTGCCTATACGCCATTCCCTCACGGTGTTCCTCCGATCCAATTGTTTGTGAAGCACGCGCACAAACGTCAAGCACGACAGAACAAGCAGTTTTCTCTTTGTCGTACCGCCAACGTCTCAGCTAATCGGTAATTGGTGGCTACGAATGTATGCTATACTGACACCCGTCGATGAAGCGCTAGCAGATTCTTGCGTCTACTTACACCGTGATGGTCACCGTCCTGTTACCATTACGTACCTTATCGCTTCTTGTTCCGTCGCCAAGTCCACTATCTCGTCCAAAAGGGTTGGCACAGCCCAGCTAGTTGTCACCACCTGAAACAACACGAAGTCCGTCCTTGCACAAGCCACAACAAGCTCTAGGCGGCGTCGGTCCAGTCTTGATGGACCCAGTGAACTCCGTCTACTAGATGGCCGTGGCTGGAGCCGTGCTATGACGGAAGTCTCTGTCTCTTTCGCATCCTTTGCAACCACGGGATCGGACGGGGTGGAACGAACGTCGAACAGACCACTGCCACCGTGATCTGGTCCGCACGTCAGTCTCGTCGTCGCTCCTGCCCCTTACATTCATCAGCCACTTCAATCCGATGCGGCACCTTCAAACGTCGTTTTGGATAAGCTCGTGTTGCCTCTCGTGCCAATGGCACCGCTCACCCACATGTCGAACGAAGCAACGATGCGCTGCAGCGTACGTAGCCAATCTTTGCATACGTAGGCGTTCCCGTACTCTTCGTCGGATCACCGACTAGTCCATCAGCCACCAGCGATGTCAGGTTCCTGGCTCTGGCGGGCACGCAGCAATGGCCACGAGCACTATCTCAGTAGCAGGCTGCATCGACTGACTCGCATTCAGTGCTCATGGCGATTCCGAAGTGCTGGATCCATGCGAGCGACTTCTCGGTCCCTTCTCACCTCACGAGTAGAGATGTCTTCCACGTTACCGTCATGGCGGCTGCTGCAACTGCACGAATAGGAACGCTTCCACACGATGAAGCAGCCACTCAACAAACCGTCTGTGCCGGTGCCGTACCCAAATCTTGCTGGTAGCCCAGTCGCTTCGGCATCGGATAGAGCTCCGTGGAACGACGTCGATGCGTGGCATTCATGAAAGGTCTGGTCAGGTGCACATCTCGTGGTTCTTCTACAGTGACGAGCACACGGAGAGCGAGATGCGACTGTATAGAACACGCTGTCGGACTTTGTCGGTCAACACCCGACAGACTCTGTTTGTTGCACGATGACTGGTTCTGCCGCGCCGCATTGCTTGGCATGGAGTCTCGTCTTCTCTTCAGATGCTTTCGGTCCAGCTCTCGTACGCTCTATGCGCCGTCTTCGGAGACCCACTGTGGGACAGGTGCTCGTGCGCAGACCAGTTGCGGATACAGCTGATGCAGAACGTTCCCAAGCATTCTGAGCAGATCTCGCTGATAGAAACTCGTGGATATAAGCCATGCGCATAGAAATGATGGTAGGGATCGTGGGCACAAGCTGTGCGCATAGTACACAGGTATTGCTGCATAGTCATCGTTTCTATTACATTTCTCAGGCAGCTGCAATAAAAAGGAACGATGGTCGATCTCATGTTTGTGCAGATGGCAGTTATCTGGCGAAAACTTGTATATCGAATATTAACACAAACATCGCTTCGATTGAGACAGCGGTCGTTATTTTGTGCTAAGACCTAACCCGCATAACGTAAATCAACGAAATATATGCCAACAGAGATGGCAGCCTGCACATTTTAGACTCGCTCAATCGCCAAACGCAGCACTGGCGTCGAGAAAATAGCGTGTGACACGCTATATCGCTTCTCGCAGATCGCGCGGTTTATCCATGCACGAAAGCAAGTTATGCTACGCCTCCTGACCTGCCAAAAAAACCTTGCACTTATCCAGGACTTATCGAAAGGGCCAGACATGTATTTACTCGGCGCTATCCTCTTTTTACGATACGCACTGCTGCAGTCACATTATAAGTATAGAATTATTCATGAAGTCCAAAAATTGGCTTTTCCGATTTTTTGGCGACAATCACGTACAGCATACCACCGTTAAGACAATCGTTAAAATACGTCGCTTGACACTACAGTCTTCCCTCTGCTAAGTTATCCCCGGCTACGGAATAACCTCCGGTAAGTTATAGGATTCGGTCTCCACCGACCTCGTTCTATGGTGACTACGGAATGAGTTATACGGAATAGCCTAAGGGCCAAATACAACTTATCAGAGGAAATATTTTTGTCCGCCGTGAGCAGAAATATTGTACGCAGAACCTTTTTTTTTGTTATTCACTGCAAGAAAGGAGTGGAAAGAGGAGAGGAAACTACTTCAGCCAGGAATCAAGTGTGGCCTGAGTGGTGCTCGCACTACGGAGATCAGCTTAGCCTTGGCAAAGGGTGCGGTGAGCTATACGATGGGACTCCTGAGAAAGGTCGAGAAGGGCGATGGATAGACTAAGGCTGGCAAGCTTTTCAGCCTTCGAATGCTTTTCCACCTCCTCCTCCGCCTCAGCAGCACCTTCCTCCTCCCCATACGGATCCTCAACAAGCTTGATGATTTCGGCATCGGTCAGCTCCGCATGCGCCGTCTCCTCCTCCTCAGCCGGATTGAAAAGAGAAGCGATCGACATGGGATTGCGGAGCGGGAGCCTTTCCAGCGCCGAAACAAGATCCTGTTCCACGCGCTGCTCCTCTACTACAGCAGCTGTTGCCTCCTGCTGGGCCTGCTGGCCAACAGTGCTGGCTTCGTTTTCACCCCCACCAGTCGGCAGAGCCGGACCGTCCATGAGTCCCGTATGACGGAAGCAGTTGGCGATTGTGGCACTGGAAATCTCGCTCCACGCAGCCAGCGACCAACGCATGGCCGTGAGCTGATCAACCTTGTAAAGGTTGGTTTCTCCGCGCTCGTCACGGTCCAAGGCATTCTGCAGATGCAGCCGGCGGTAGTGCCTCTTGAATGCGGCAATGATCCCAGCATCCATGGGTTGGACCTTTGAAGTCGTATTATGAGGAAGAGCCTGGACCGTGATGTTGGTGAGTTCCAGGTCAGCAACAATGTGTGAAGGAGCGTTGTCCATGAGACGCAGGATTTTTCTATCCTTTTGCTGTGGTCAACGCGTTAGTCAAACCTCATTTACTGTACCACAACGATGATGTTCAAGGCATGCCCCAAATTACCTTCATACTTTTGTCGACGTCTCCCAGCCATTCCTGGAAGAGTATGCCAGTCATCCAGGCTTTCTTGTTGTTGCAATAGAGAAAGCCCAGTCGCTCAGCTGTCTTGCGCTCAAAAAACCGCGGCTTTTTGGCGTGTCCAATGAAGAACGGCGGGAGTTTGTCGGATCCATCAGCGTTTGCCGTGAGAGCAACTGTGATGCGCGTCTAGAATAGCTGTTAGTGTCAGAGAAACGCAGGAAACCAAGATGAGAGCAATAATGTACCCTGTCTTTTTTAAACCCTTCGACCTCTTGCTGGGCAATCGTTCTGTCGGGCGTCATACTGTAGAACAACCCTGAACAGAAAGTGAGCCTTTGAGATGCTTCTGTACTGTACAATGAGTACAGTACTGTACTGTATTCTCAGACCTACCAGTTTCGTCCATGTTGTACACGTCACGTGGAGTATAATTAGCAACCACGGCCTTGAGGTGTGGAAGACCCTCCTCTGGAGCGCCCATATCTGCTGAGCCACTCTCGCCATGAATGCGGACAGCTCGCAGTTTGTGGCGCTGCTGGAATTTGTGGAGCCACCCATTCGAAAAGCGGATGTTTTCCTCCGAGACGCCCATTGATCCCGCAAAAGTCTGAGCCTTGGCCCGTATGAGATCTCCAGTGAGAGCGACCCCACGGTGCTGGCACTGCAATACCCAGAAGGCGACGGCCTCCTCCACAGCTGGGTGCTGGACAGTCCGAGGACGCTTAGCGCTGAGGCTAGTGGTGTCCATTGCCTCAAGCTCCTTCCTTTTTTTGATGATTTTGCTAATCGCTGCCTGGGAAAGTGCCTTCTGGAGGTCAAAGGCGTCCTTTGTCCAAGCCGCCAGGGCAGTCTAGGTGATGCGCGGGTTAGCATCCTGGTGCTTGCAGATGCGCAGCTTCTGCTCGTTGGTAAGACGTATCTGCGACATCTGTTGTGAGTGAGCAAGGTACAGTTGGTGGAACTTCTTAACCAGAGATAGCAAA